GTATCGGATGTGCAGAAACGGTTCCCCGAAATTCCCTAATACAGCATACAAAAGACGGTGTACAGACACCGTCTGAGGCGCGTTTCTCCCTTGAATGACGGTCCTGTCACGTCGGTCGTACAAAACCTAGGGAGTTTTAGGGAGCCGTGTGTGCATATCCGATACGGTACGATGGGCCCTCCGGTACGCGCTGTACATGTGCGAGTCTTGAGCGGTAGCACACGCGCAGTTCGCACCGGATCGCCCATCGTACCGTATCGGATGTGCAGAAACGGTTCCCCGAAATTCCCTAATACAGCATACAAAAGAGGGTGTAGAGACACCGTCTGAGGCGCGTTTCTCCCTTGAATGACGGTCCTGTCACGTCGGTCGTACAAAACCTAGGGAGTTTTAGGGAGCCGTGTGTGCATGTCCGATACGGTACGATGGGCCCTCCGGTACGCGCGCTGTACATGTGCGAGTCTTGAGCGGTAGCACACGCGCAGTTCGCACCGGATCGCCCATCGTACCGTATCAGATGTGCAGAAACGGTTCCCCGAAATTCCCTAATACAGCATACAAAAGAGGGTGTAGAGACACCGTCTGAGGCGCGTTTCTCCCTTGAATGACGGTCCTGTCACGTCGGTCGTACAAAACCTAGGGAGTTTTAGGGAGCCGTGTGTGCATGTCCGATACGGTACGATGGGCCCTCCGGTACGCGCGCTGTACATGTGCGAGTCTTGAGCGGTAGCACACGCGCAGTTCGCACCGGATCGCCCATCGTACCGTATCGGATGTGCAAAAACGGTTCCCCGAAATTCCCTAATACAGCATACAAAAGACGGTGTACAGACACCGTCTGAGGCGCGTTTCTCCCTTGAATGACGGTCCTGTCTCATTGGTTGTACAAAACCTAGGGAGTTTTAGGGAACCGTGTTTGCACATCCGATACGGTACGCTGGCCCTCCGGTACGCGCGCTGTACATGTGCGAGTCTTGTGCGGTAGCACACGCGCAGTTCGCACCGGATCACCTATCGTGCCGTATCGGATGTGCAAAAACGGTTCCCCGAAATTCCCTAATACAGCATACAAAAGACGGTGTACAGACACCGTCTGAGGCGCGTTTCTCCCTTGAATGACGGTCCTGTCTCATTGGTTGTACAAAACCTAGGGAGTTTTAGGGAACCGTGTTTGCACATCCGATACGGTACGCTGGCCCTCCGGTACGCGCGCTGTACATGTGCGAGTCTTGTGCGGTAACACGTGCGCAGTTCGCACCGGATCGCCCATCGTACCGTATCGGATGTGCAAAAACGGTTCCCCGAAATTCCCTAATACAGCATACAAAAGACGGTGTACAGACACCGTCTGAGGCGCGTTTCTCCCTTGAATGACGGTCCTGTCTCATTGGTTGTACAAAACCTAAAGAGTTTTAGGGAACCGTGTTTGCACATCCGATACGGTACGCTGGCCCTCCGGTACGCGCTGTATATGTGCGAGTCTTGTGCGGTAGCACACGCGCAGTTCGCACCGGATCACCTATCGTACCGTATCGGATGTGCAAAAACGGTTCCCCGAAATTCCCTAATACAGCATACAAAAGACGGTGTACAGACACCGTCTGAGGCCGTTTCTCCCTTGAATGACGGTACTGTCACATTGGTTGTAGAAAGCCTAGGGAGTTTTAGGGAACCGTGTTTGCACATCCGGTACGGTACGATGGCCCTCCGGTACGCGCTGTACATGTGCTAGTCTTGTGCGGTAGCACACGCGCAGTTCGCACCGGATCACCTATCGTACCGTATCGGATGTGCAAAAACGGTTCCCCGAAATTCCCTAATACAGCATACAAAAGACGGTGTACAGTACTACAGACACCGTCTGAGGCGCGTTTCTCCCTTGAATGACGGTCCTGTCACATTGGTCGTACAAAACCTAGGGAGTTTTAGGGAGCGGTGTGTGCATATCCGATACGGTACGCTGGCCCTCCGGTACGCGCGCTGTACATGTGCGAGTCTTGTGCGGTAGCACACCCGCAGTTCGCACCGGATCGCCCATCGTACCGTATCGGATGTGCAAAAACGGTTCCCCGAAATTCCCTAATACAGCATACAAAAGACGGTGTACAGACACCGTCTGAGGCGCGTTTCTCCCTTGAATGACGGTACTGTCACATTGGTCGTACAAAACCTAGGGAGTTTTAGGGAACCGTGTTTGCACATCCGATACGGTACGCTGGCCCTCCGGTACGCGCGCTGTACATGTGCGAGTCTTGTGCGGTAGCACACCCGCAGTTCGCACCGGATCGCCCATCGTACCGTATCGGATGTGCAAAAACGGTTCCCCGAAATTCCCTAATACAGCATACAAAAGACGGTGTACAGACACCGTCTGAGGCGCGTTTCTCCCTTGAATGACGGTCCTGTCTCATTGGTTGTACAAAACCTAGGGAGTTTTAGGGAACCGTGTTTGCACATCCGATACAGTACGCTGGCCCTCCGGTACGCGCGCTGTACATGTGCGAGTCTTGTGCGGTAGCACACCCGCAGTTCGCACCGGATCGCCCATCGTACCGTATCGGATGTGCAAAAACGGTTCCCCGAAATTCCCTAATACAGCATACAAAAGACGGTGTACAGACACCGTCTGAGGCGCGTTTCTCCCTTGAATGACGGTACTGTCACATTGGTTGTAGAAAGCCTAGGGAGTTTTAGGGAACCGTGTTTGCACATCCGGTACGGTACGATGGCCCTCCGGTACGCGCTGTACATGTGCGAGTCTTGTGCGGTAGCACACGCGCAGTTCGCACCGGATCACCTATCGTACCGTATCGGATGTGCAAAAACGGTTCCCCGAAATTCCCTAATACAGCATACAAAAGACGGTGTACAGACACCGTCTGAGGCGCGTTTCTCCCTTGAATGACGGTCCTGTCTCATTGGTTGTACAAAACCTAAAGAGTTTTAGGGAACCGTGTTTGCACATCCGATACGGTACGCTGGCCCTCCGGTACGCGCTGTACATGTGCGAGTCTTGTGCGGTAGCACACGCGCAGTTCGCACCGGATCACCTATCGTACCGTATCGGATGTGCAAAAACGGTTCCCCGAAATTCCCTAATACAGCATACAAAAGACGGTGTACAGACACCGTCTGAGGCGCGTTTCTCCCTTGAATGACGGTACTGTCACATTGGTTGTAGAAAGCCTAGGGAGTTTTAGGGAACCGTGTTTGCACATCCGGTACGGTACGATGGCCCTCCGGTACGCGCTGTACATGTGCTAGTCTTGTGCGGTAGCACACGCGCAGTTCGCACCGGATCACCTATCGTACCGTATCGGATGTGCAAAAACGGTTCCCCGAAATTCCCTAATACAGCATACAAAAGACGGTGTACAGTACTACAGACACCGTCTGAGGCGCGTTTCTCCCTTGAATGACGGTCCTGTCACATTGGTCGTACAAAACCTAGGGAGTTTTAGGGAGCGGTGTGTGCATATCCGATACGGTACGCTGGCCCTCCGGTACGCGCGCTGTACATGTGCGAGTCTTGTGCGGTAGCACACCCGCAGTTCGCACCGGATCGCCCATCGTACCGTATCGGATGTGCAAAAACGGTTCCCCGAAATTCCCTAATACAGCATACAAAAGACGGTGTACAGACACCGTCTGAGGCGCGTTTCTCCCTCGAATGACGGTCCTGTCACATTGGTCGTACAAAACCTAGGGAGTTTTAGGGAGCGGTGTGTGCATATCCGATACGGTACGATGGGCCCTCCGGTACGCGCTGTACATGTGCAAGTCTTGTGCGTTAGCACACGCGCAGTTCGCACCGGATCGCCCATCGTACCGTATCGGATGTGCAAAAACGGTTCCCCGAAATTCCCTAATGCAGCATACAAAAGACGGTGTACAGACACCGTCTGAGGCGCGTTTCTCCCTTGAATGACGGTCCTGTCTCATTGGTTGTACAAAACCTAGGGAGTTTTAGGGAACCGTGTTTGCACATCCGATACGGTACGCTGGCCCTCCGGTACGCGCTGTGCATGTGCGAGTCTTGTGCGATAACACACGCGCAGTTTGAACCGGATGGCTCATCGTACCGTATCGGATGGACAAAAACGGTTCTAAAACTCTCCACTGTCTGCAGACAGGACCGAAGACGTATGCATGAAGTTAGCATGCTTTGAACATGGTTGAGGCGCGTGTCCTGAGATAATTCTGCCTTCATGCCTGCGGCGAACGTGTTCAAAGCATGAAATATGCTTTTTAGCACAACCCCCTCATCCCACCCGTCCATCCGTCCGTGCATTTCCCGCTAAATTTAGAGTGAACATTGACGTCACGTGGCCCATACACGAATTCAGTTTCCCCGCTAAATTTTGCGGGAAAATATATTTCACGACCTGGCGTCACGGGTCCTATGGACAAATTTAGGTTCCCCGCTAAATTTAGCTCAAAAATGTATGTCACGTGACGTATGCACCAAATCAGTTTCCCCGCTAAATTTAGCGGTAAAATTGATACAACGACCTGGAGTCGCGGGACCTACGGACAAGTTCAGGTTTCCCGCTAAATTTAGCGGAAACTATTGACGTCGCGTGGCCTGTGCACCCATTCGGATTCCCTGTCACGTGACCTGACATTATGTGACCTATACACTATTGAGGTTAAAATAGAACAAACCTCATGGAAAGGGACGCTTTTCGTATTTGCTACGTAATTGTTGATGAGACAGGATAAATATACCCCTTCCGAGATCACGCCTTCTGGTTTATTGTAAATAGCTTCGGCGCACGAGGATGCGTAGAGCCTTCTTTCCCGAAACCGTCGTTCTTTGAACTGCATATTGATGCACTTGTGCAATTTTAGCAGGCCTTTATTTGTAGCTTCGCCTTTATTTACATTCACAATTTCTTCTCAGTTGTGTTTCCCCTGACGTTGGAGAGCAACACGACCGAAAACGAAACCGACCATTTTCCCATAACAAGAATCGAGCTCGCTCGCTGCTGGACATCCCATCGCCGTCATCACAATCCAAGATGGCGCGGAGCGCGGTTTATGAGAAAACAAAAATGGCGCTCCGTAACACCGACTACGCCAACTACCCTGCTGCGAGTATCACCGAAACCTTCACGCCTCAGCTTGACACGACTTGGTCGTCATTTCATGCGTAAAAGGTATCGAGTTCGATTACTTAACCTCAACGATGTCGAAGAAGGACTTGCGAACGATCGACAGGGACAAGTGCCGCGCCAAGTCGGAAAACCAACTTCGCGCCGTCTACGATCTCTGCCTTTATAAAAGCGACCTGCTACGCGCAAAAGGCGACTCGGACGACGCACTGGAAGAAATCACCGAGGCCCTTTCACTCTGTGACCAGATCCCCGACTCCGAGCTGGACCGGGCACTCGCGTACCGCAAGATGGGCGAATGCCTCGTCGACCTTCAGCGCTACGACGACGCCAAGCGGCATCTCAAACAGTACCTGGATATCGCCAAGTCGGCGGACTCGGTGCTCGAGCAGCAGCGGGCGTGGGCCACGCTCGCCCGCTGCTACTTCGTCCACCTCCAAGATGGCATGTCCGCTACAGGCAGCAAGGCCACCGAACTCCGACGCAAGGCACTCAACGCCAACCTCCGCTCGCTGCAGCTCGTCGAGAAGCTCACCGACGCGGTAAGCGAGCGGGAGCGCGCCGAGATGACCGGCAGAATCTTCCTCAACCTTGCTCTCCTGCGCGAATCGGACGAAGACGAAGCGGCCATGGAGTCATACCAGAAGGCCCTGTACATCTTCACCAAGCACAAGCTCCACGAAGATCTCTGCCGCTGCCTCAACTCGCTCTCCAACGCGCACCTGCGGATGGGCAACGATACAGAAGCCCTCGTCATCGCCGGTCGCCTGCTCGACTTGGGCCGCCAGTTGAAGCGACCCGACGTCAAGTGCGACGCGCAGTTTCTTCGCGGCGCCGCCTTGATACACACAGGAGACTGGGAAGCGGCCAGGTCCGCCTTCAAACGTGCCCACAGACAGAAGCTTCCCGCCGAGGAAGACAGAGCCCGCGCCCGGAGGTACCTGAAGCTAAGCTGCGTCCTGCGAGGGTGTGAGCTCAAGCTGCGCGACGAAGCAGACCCCGCCAAGCGGTCGGAAGTCTTCGAGAAACTCGGCGACGTCCTGTCGAAGTGCGGGCTGTACAGGCCTGCGCTGAAGCAGTACGTAAACGCGGCCGATGAAGCCACCAGGGCCGGAGCGTCCAACAGGAAGATGGGGGAGCTGTATGCGTCATTGGCAGAGACGTGCAAGGACGTCGGCGACTTTGACTCGGCGTTAACCTACTACCAGAAGGAGCTCACCTACAGAGACGACGATCCAAAGGAAGCCGCTCTCACCCATCTCAACGTGGCCAGGGTCCTGTTGAAGAAGGGCAAGAAGGGTGAGCAGGTGGATGTACGACGCGCGCTGGTGCAAGCCGTTGAGTTGTCGCGGAAGGCCGGGAAGCCGTCCCTCGAGTTGGAGTGCCTCGAAGAGCTCGGAAACATTGAAGGGGGTATTCGAGACCCAGAGCTGGGATCCCGGCTAAGAGAGCTGCAGAGTCGTAACATCGACACTCAGACGAGCGGCAGCGATGGGGAGTCGGATCTGTCGGACGTCCAGCTCGACGACATCTCCGACACGGACGAGAGCGATCCGGAGTTTCAGGACACGGTACGGCGGCTGTGCAAGCGGGTCGAAGACAAGCGGAATAACAAGGGCGAGTCTCCGTTGCATCGGGCATGCATTGAGGGCAAGCCGGATCGGGTGCAGAACCTCCTCAAGATGGGACACTCGGTCAACGTGCGCGACCACGCGGGCTGGCAGCCACTGCACGAGGCCGCCAACCACGGCTACCTCAAGATCGTCCAAATGCTGGTGGAGGCCGGAGCGAAGGTGAACGATCCGGGAGGGGCCGAGTGCTCTCGGCTCACGCCGCTTCACGACGCCGCTGGAAACGGACACGCCGAGGTGATACTCTACCTCCTCGAGAGAGGAGCCAACGCTGCGGCGAAGAGCATCCACGGGAAAACGCCGCTGGACTGTCTGCGCGAATGGATAAGTGAGAATTCCTCCGAACTAGACGATTCTGCACGTCGCCGAGTTGAAGAAGCGAAGTTGCGTCTCAAGGAGAGGTGCTCGAATTGTGAGGAATCCACGAGCAGCGTTACACCGTCTTGTTCGGTGTTTAGGACAGACACAAGTGGGCGCGCGGAAGATGACAGACCTACGAAAAAATCAGATTCTGAGCCAAAACAACCGTCCGGATGGGTGTATGAAGAGGACTATGTATGGCTCGAGGACGACCTAGCCAAGCCTGCGGCCAAGCCGAGACACCTTGCCCAAACTACACTTCCAGTAACGCGGAAGAAACGAAGTCGTTCCTCGAGCCACTTTCCTCAACCCAAGTATACAAAGAGCATGCGATACAACAAAGACGACGATGTCGGCATTGTGGTGCCCTCCGAAGACCACAGCCAAGGAAACTCCGACCACGAAGAAGACTCTCGCTCGCATTCTCCACTTGAGAGGTCAGCAATGGTTCAACCCCAACCTTCTATGATCCCAGCTTCCTCATCACTCCGTGTCCGTATCGAAGACAAGCCATTCTTCATCCCGATTCCGCTTGGAATGGCCGCCAAGAAAACGATCCAGTGGCTGGCCACCGAAGCAGCCGAGCGGTACCTCCACCTCGTTGGTGTGAAACCAGTGTTGCGGCTGACCCTGTCGGATGGCGCATTGCTCGGGCCTTCAGACACCCTGGACTGCCTCTTCCACCTTCCCTCCACTGAAATTGTCGGCGAAGTCGACTCATGGGACATGCCTGCCCTTCCGGATCGCTATGTCGGCGAATGTAATCGCAAGGGTGTGCCTCCTTGCTCAAACCTTCTGCCCGTCCTCCGGGACTGCGAAGCTCGGCGGGACTTTTCGCTGCGGTTTTCAAACGGAGTTCGTCACCTCGACCTCGTGTTCCGTGCCCTGCGGCACCAGCCACTTCTCGGCACGTTTGACATCTCCGGAACTGCGCTGAGCCCGACTTCGGTCCTAGCCCTGGCAGCCTGCCTCCCGACCTTAGAGTCGCTGAACTGTCTCGTCCTGCGGTGCACTTGCCTCGTCCCCGACTACGTCAAGATTTTGTCAGACGCGCTCCAGAGATCCAAGTCCAAACTTGCGTTGACCGAGCTAGACCTGAGCTACAATCCGATTGGCAGAGACGGAATGTCGCCGCTGGCCCAGCTGCTTTCCGACTGTCCCAAACTCAAGATTCTTCGGCTAGATGCCTGCAAAATTGCCGACCCAGGGCTCGTGCTGCAAGGGGTCAGCACCCTGGAACGACTCTACGTGAGCCACAACCCACTTGACCGGTCAGGACTCGAGTCCTTGGCGGCGGTCTTCGGGTCCAACCGCCTCAAGGTCCTTGACATTGCTAACAGCTTTCCGGCCGTCGGCTCCGGCTTGGGTCGGCTCGTTGGGGGCGTCTTTTCGAGGCCGGATTGCTGTCTTACCGAGGCGAGGCTCAGCTGTTGTAATCTGGTGGATGACGACCTTGAATATCTCTTCTGCGTGCCTTCCGGGACGTTGACCAAGCTAGACTTGACCGGAAATCCGGGACTGACTTACGCTGCCGTGAACGAGCTGTCGTCGAAGCTTGTTAACGTTCGGATAGCGGCGGACAGCTGCAAGTGATGTGACCTGACATCCCGTTATTGCGGAAATTACGTCGAGTTGGTGTTAAGTTATCTAGCCTAAATTGATGGAAACTAGTTTTCTCTTTAATGTGTGTACATGAGTGCATATCGTCTTGCGATGTGTTGTTTAGATGTTTAATTCTGACGTTTGTTTTCTTATTACCATTGACAATGTGCCATATAATGTGCTGCATACCATTTACACCTTTATATGTATTTAAATAAACTAGACTTTTGAAGAAAGTTTAGGTTTGATTCAATAAATTTTGTTTTTCAAGGTAAAACCTCAATTGACGACTTAGGCTGTGTCGACACAATGAATGAAATCATAAAACAATGTTACCTTCTTAGTCTGCAAGCAGTAGGCTACACATTGCCAGATTTAGTAGAAGAGTGTTTATTCTATCACAAGTCAGATCGTTCTTTCACGTCATTGAATATCGACTGTGTAGAGAAAATTCAACCAGCGCTGGAAGGCTTGCTGAAAGTTCTTAAAATACATCCTGCAGCGGTGATTACATGAATACATGCTGCTATAACACACTTTTATATCGAAATAGCTAGATGTTGGTTTGCACACTGAAAATTAAAGTGCCTTCACCACAAAGTACCAGTGAAAGAGTAGGAAAGTACAAACTTGGTTTATTCATGGAGCCTCTTGAATAAAAACATTGCAGAAAAAAATGAAAGACGTGTCAAAGAAAGTGGATATACCAAATGCTGACTTACAACTGGTTTAACTATGAAGAAAATTGGTACCAGTGAGTCTTACTGTGCTTTCTGCCCTTGAAGAGGAAGGAATCTTCCTGCAATCTAAAGGAGAGAATGAAAGCTGCAGAATATCACCACTGTTGCTACACCTTTTTGTGTATCATTGAAAGGAACTATTGGCTGAATGTGCGGCAAATAAGTATTTGAATAGCAGCTCGTTCCAACCCTTGTTTAAGTGCAAAAAAACTGCGTGACAGTGTGTCAAAAGATGCTGACGAAGCAAGACCCAAGGTGAAAATGGCACAACAGGCAAGCAACCTGCAACAAACTGCTCTCTCTCAAAAAGGTTGGTTTCTCCTTGCTAGGTTATCCCTTGACAACAAGTCTCTCTGACTTTATTTGTAAAGTATTTCCTTTGTCAGTCTAGATGCGAGTTATTTTCAAAAGCCAATTTGTACTGTAATGCCAAGGTGACCTCTATCTTGTGATCCTTGAACAATGTTGCATAGCCAGCATGGGGACATTTTTCGGAATAAAATTTGTGGCATGAATGCTTTGACACGCAAATTTAGGAAGGTTTTCTGGTGTCTCCAGTTTAGATAGGCTATTTGGCCAGTGCACTATGACTGCTTATTTCTGGTTTTTAAGTTTTGTCATGCAGAATTGATGACATGCGCATACACTGGTACAGTGCTTATCCATCAAGATGGGCTCGGAGGACGTGTAGCACGTCGGCCTTTGCTCCACGTGCTCCAGGCAGGGGTGTTCTAGCACTACCACCAACCCTTTTTGTCCCTGCATCTTTTAGATAGAGGATTTAATGATGAACTAATTTAATATGTATTGTTTCACTTCTGTCAATTTTGATTTGAAAGGGGTTCTGGTTTTGCATTAGCTCTTTAGTTGTGCACCCGACAAGATGCAACAGGATCTCCACATCAGTGTATAGCTCGTCTTCCTCTATTAACCGAGCAATTTTTTGGGGGGGAACGAACATCCTGGGATGGTTATCTAAACAAATTACGTACGGACCAGCATATTGGTACAAATCGGGCGTGACTCTATGTTAATAATTGCATGCCGTTAACTTTCTCAGGGGATTGCTCCCAGTAAAAGGCACCAGGCTGGGGACAACAACGGAAGCAAATCGTCCAACTGGAGAGGGCAAGGCCAGGCCTGTAGCCCGGGGGTGGGAGGCATACTTCGTTTCACCATAGCTTGGCAAAAGGAAACTGCCACAGGCGCCTCGAGCCAATCAGAGAGACGGGGTGAAGGTACTGTATGTGACAAATCTCTACAGGATAGCACTCCGATGATATGTTGTCACATGCATATTGGCTCGCTGGGACTGTAGCCTTCACCATTTGTGAAATTGCCGTGAAACAAAGTATAGTAGCTACTACTCTAATTAGCCAAGGCCCTCATACTTTGGGCATTTGTTCGACAAGAATGTCATGTCAGCAGTCACTTACAATGTCATGTCAGCAGTCACGAATGCTGCACTAGCGGTTGACGTGAACTGGGGCCCATTCGCGTGCTTCACGCCGAAAAAAGATGGTGACAGTCATGCTGCTCGATGGGGTTTTGCAAAGGGTAGTGGTGGAACTGACAAGTGGTGAATCGGAGCAGCTCTTGTAGCAGGGAAAAACGGGTTTCGGGGCGGAGATTTCCACTTTTGGAGCAGACAATTTTGAGCTTTCATGTCAGAAAAGTTTATACAATCTGTGCAAGTTAGCCTGTAGAAAAAACTGCAGTTGTTGGAGTGCTCAGAGGCTATTTAAAGTGTCATACATAATGGGGACCTGGCTGCTACAGTTTTTTTATTTATTTATTGAACAATCATATGGCAATAATTTCGCAGATGTCTGTGTTTGAAAGAAAAGGATGTTTTCGGCTACTTTGTATGGTTTGTATCACGCTGCTCTTGCTTTTATTCCACCTGCTCCTGTTCATAGAGCAACTAAGCGAAGCTTAGCTGCTCTAACAACCCTAACCGATCACAATGCTTACCTGCTTAATGGACGTTTACCGATCACAATGAATAGCGCTAACAATTCATTACAATCGATGTGAGCACTCTTCACACAAAAATTTATAACTCTTCATTAGGCATGTGCAAATAGTGGATATCAGGCTCAAAGCAAACTTAAAGTGAATAGTGGTTTTGGCCAAATATTTTTGAGTTGCATACTGAATACTCGCTGCGCCTTTCACTACCGTTACAACATGTTGGAACAAAATTCAGCTGAACTTGCAAAGGTTGTTCCCAAGCTTCTGATGGTTTGTTTGTTTGTTTCTTTATTTGACTCTGGAGAGTTGGGTCACTGCAAATCAGGTGTCACGCCCATACCGAAAGGTTTACAGTGCCTCTTAAGCAGAAAGTGGAAAAAGATTATATATACAAAAAAAAAAAAAAAGGGGGGGGGGGGGGGGAGGGGAGTCATTGGCTACATAAATGTTACACGAGTCATGCACTCAATTGTTCTGCAGGTAGCTTGCGACGTTTTTGGTGAACGTGCGAATGGAGGTTTGCTCACTCGGTGCTGGGTCGGTGATCGACGTGGGAAGGGACCTCCAGAGTCGTACCGCGCGGGGGCCAAAAGAGTGGAAATGACGGAGGGTGCGGGTTAACAGGGGCTGTAGGCCGCCGGAACGAGTATGCCGCAAAGAGGAAGCGAAGAGAAACATGGGACTTCGGCAGGCTTAGAGTGGTCAGGAGGCGTGCTGTCGCAACTTGACGTCGCAGTTGAAGTTGGTCCCAGCCGACCAGTTCCACTTATGAGCTCTATTAAATTTAATCTAGCTATAGTCATGAACTGTGGCCGCAAAAAGTTCAATACCTACATTAGGATGGCAAGTAACCGAGAAATATACATAAAATTACACCTATAAAAAAGCCCAGCCATACCTAAATCTTACTTATAAAGTAGTAAGTAATCTTACTTAGCTACTTATGAATCTTCTGGCTATATGCAAATGTTATCTCCAATTCTGTATTTAAAATTTAAAAAAAGAAACAAGCACACATAATAAATACAGGTTGCTAGAACATCGCTGCCTAACATATCCTCTTGCATACATAGCTTGCATAATAGCCACAGTTAAATTTGGAAGACTTTACTGCAATGTAGATAACAATCGCAGTATTTCCTGTTTTTTTTTTTTTTTTTTTCTTTTTAATGCACTAGACGCTTGCATGCACCAAACCACTTTGAAGGAGTGTTTCTTGCATAAGCGCGCAGCTCCGCTGCAGCGAAGCGAGTTGCGAGATCGCAGTGTCAACTGCGCGGGTATTGCTTCTCCGCAGTGGACTGGTTTTTGAGGAGAAGCGCACTCAAGGCTGCTGATCCGCCGCGATCAACACTTCGAAAGTATGAATCATAGAGTTATTACAATTCTAACTCTACGGTATGAATACTGCAGTTCATTTTGAAGAGAATATAAATAGCATATTATTTGAAACTTCTATCCGAAAATTTTAATATTTGTGTTACCCTATCTTTACACGTAGTACTCAGGCGCCCAAAAAAAAAAAAAATTGTACTTCCTTAATTTTCAATGGCATCGCTACCAATGCTACGTGCCAGACACAGTTTCTTTTTCAAGAACAGCTTCCTTTTGGCACAGATAATTTATTTATTTTACAGAGTACCTACATCGCCTCGAGGGCATTATTGTAGGAGGTGCAGGAAATAACATACATACATAAAAAACACAAAGTGATCACTTGTCCGCACAGATTAGATATACAGCCGAGAAAAAATACACTGTTGTCCAAGGTGCTCACCACATCATCAGGCAGCAAGTTCCACTCTCTAATTGTCTTTACAAAAAAAGAATGACAGAAGCTGTTTGTTTTAGGAATATTCAAAAACTTTTCTAGAGTTATCACACCTAGCTGAAACATACGTTGGCCCCAAAAGATACTCATTCTTATTAATACCAGTATTATTATAATAAATGCGATGGAAAAACTTCAATCTTAATTTTTGCCTTCGAATGCTCAAGGGCTCCCATCACAGCATGGTTTTAAGCTCTGTCATACTAGCGTATGGATCATAGTTGTTACTAACAAATCGCGCTGCTTGGTTTTGAAGTTTCTCTAATCTACCGATCAGATACTGCTGGTAGGGATCCCATATAACGCACGCATAATCAAGCATTGACCTTATGTGCAAGAAGTAAAGAGTTTCTCTTACGTCTCGGGACGCGTGTTTGAAATTTCTACGGATAAAAAACAACATTTTACTGGCCTTATTAATTGTGTAGTCAATATGTTTATTCCATTTAAGTGATTGGTGAAAATAAACGCCAAGATATTTACATTCAGAGACATTACCGATTGTCAGGTTTTTGATAGTATAACTTGTAAAAAATTTAGAGACGTTTCTAGCAAAATTAACGAGGTTCCATTTTCCAATATTTAGGCTCATGTTCCATTGGTTACACCAGTATGCTACCTTATCTAGATCGCTCTGTAGGATTTCGATGTCTCTCGTCGAATTTATTTCCCTGTAAATAACGCAATCATC